ACAACATTGTTTCATCCTCTGGAAACAGCCTACTGGGAACCGGTAACTAAGAGCAAGTCCACGCATACCATAGTGGTGTTCTACCATGCTAACCAGGGCAGTTGCACAACCAGTTTGGAGCAAAATAGCTATCCTAAAATGACTATCCGTTGCACAATTTGAGGATTTTACAAATTTTACATTAATTTACGCCTAGATGTCTGTAACACATGCTTCCTACATACTGTTTTATATTTTTGGCATAAGACTTCAGTAAGTCTAATTTTGCTGTCTTTGTTAATACTGCAGAAGTACTCAATATGTACTTTGATATTTCCATTTAAAACTTAATGAAAACATTTTTCTGTATTTGTTCCTAAACAGTGGAGTTAATTGTATGCCAAAAAAGTGTCAGTCCTTTGCTGATGCTTAAACACTGTGAAGTTTTATTTTAGGCATGGTGGCAAAAGTTATAGAAATGGGGATATTTTAGATTGGTATATCTAGAGATTTAGTGTACAGAGAGATTAGTGTAGATAGAGTTTCTTGGCTTCTTCGTCCATCTTTCCTTGAGAACACATACTATTTGTGAAAGAGGAGTTTGGAATCTGGTTTGCCATAAATACTAATTATATTCTTCATGTGGGTTCTTGCTTTCATAGTCACGATAACTGTTGCTTTGTGCTTAGTGGGCCAGCTCACAGCAGTTATTGTAGAGAATAATGAATGATGTTTATTTGTGCTGTACAGTTGACCACATCTGGGGGTGAGAACACACTGGCAGCTAATTGGCCTGGCAAATGATCAGGCTGCTACAAAACAGGATCTTGTGTTAGGCAGAAAAATAAAATTGCAAGGAACTGTCATCCCTTGCTTCTTACTGATGTTTTCTAGTGGAGGTGACAAACATTAGCTGTGGATATGATACTGAGATCTACTATCGTGTGCATTTCTTTCAATGAATGCCTCAAACCAATTTGCAGTTATAAACTCCTTCTAAGTTAGCCTCATCCCCAGCGATCTGTGTTAATTACTACTTTGTAGAGTTGTGTCCATCTGCGTTTGCTCTCCTCTTTGTCCTGGAATGCTTGCATACTTGACTTTCGAATGGATCACATGACTGAATGTTAAGGACAAATATCCTTGCCTGGAAGTCTGTGTTGTGTTGCTTGGCATTGAGCGATTTCCTAGAAGTGGTGCTGATGCTGCTCCTAGTTAGTCTCAGATCTTTAGATTGCTTGAAGCTTGAAGGAACTAGAATCATGAAAACTGATTCTCTGATGAGGGGACAGCAAAGATCACAATTTGCATTTTTATGTCTTACTGCTCTGTAGTTTAGCTCCCTCCCACAGCAACTGAGCTTTGCAGGTGCTCCCCTTCTGCAGCAGCCTGCTTTGTCTCTGTGCTGGAACCAGGCGGTTGCCTTCGCTCCAACCTTAGTGGCGCAAGTGGGAAGAGTAGTAAAGGCTGGTTATTTCTTACAAACCCAGGAGTACCTTTGAGTGGGACAGCGCAAAAGGAATAGGGGGGAAATAGCATCTTTTGGACTGATGACAAACTGATTGCTCCAAAAGGTTGCAAGGATGAGATTGACGGCCCGCCAACGAGATACACCTCCCTGCTGTTCCCACGGCCGCTCGGTGTTGATGTTAACAAGAAGGAAGAATAAAGTTCTTATGCCCTGCTAAATCATTTTGTCGACGGTGAGGTTTTAAAATAGAGAGGGCTTCAATATTATTTGAATATCTGTGTTTAAAATGACTGGATCGACAGTTCCAAATAACACTGCAGATTTGTGGTATATAAGCAGCTGTGTGATGGAGAACAGCTTTTCAGAGCTTTTGGTCCCTTCTAGTTTTGAAGTCCGGTTTACGGCATCTGACACAGCAAAGTACACCTGCTAAGCATCAAGATCATGCTATTGATTTCTAAGCTGGGTATAGATATGTTCCTAGCTCGCTCCTGTGTATCACTGTACATAACATCTGTCAGGACAAAATAGATCCTGTCACAAATAAACATGCAATAGTATCATTTGTTTTTCATCTGTACAAACTTTGTTTGTATCTGAATGGGTTCTCTGAAATTTACATTTTTTTTAAATTTTGCCTTTTCGTTCTACCTAAAACAACTTTACTATATATTTATTTTTTGAAGAATGTGTGGATGTTGTTTATTTTACCTTCTGAATGCATGTTAAAAAATAGGCAAACCAAAGGACAGTTGTATTCATATTTTACTGGATAAGCTAAGAAAATGTAAATTAAGTAAGCCTTTAGCTTTTTTGCCTACTCTGAGCTGTCTTTGGTGTTACTGAGCAGACCAGATGCCTTGCAAGCTTGTTGTAAGCAATATGTAGAAAAAGTGCCCTGTTCTATTATTTGGTTGATCCTCAAAAAAAAAAAAAAAAAGAAAAAATATGTCATGCTTATGTAATCAGGAATTTGATGCTGTAAAAAGGGAAGGAAAAATATGGTAGCCTAAAAGCTTGCTATGGGATTACAGTTGTTTTTAGCACTTGGTGGTTAAGCATCTTACTGCTGTGTCTCTGAACAATCATAACTGATCTAACTGCTAATTCATTTGTGTGGTGATTGATTGCCATGAACAATTCCTTGAAGAGGACTACAAATTTCATCTGTGTTTTTCTATTAACTCTAGTGGTTTTTACTTCCTTTGTTACTTTGTGTGTTGGCACACAAGTGATGTGTGTAATAAATATATACCAAAAATGGTGTATACATAGAAAATGGTAAACAAGACATATTTGCTAGAAAACTTTTTGGAGCACTTTTAGATGTAGAAGGCTGTGCTGATCCTGTGTCTTGCTGCTGAACTTTGACCATTATTTTCCTTTTGCTATAAGTAAAAACATATAATGAACAGATTAAGATGAGATTATTTTTCTCTCTAACAGCACTATTCTATTTATAACTGAATCTTTTTTTTTTCCCCCTCCTCCCTTGCATCTGTAACAGCTAGCCGATGGCGGAACCTCTTCTCTACACCTGTCTCCTTGGCTTTTCCCTATAGTCCTGTTGCAAGACTCACCCCATATACCAATGGCTTTAATAGTCCCAGCTTCTCTAAAACCTCCAGTAAAGCAATACTAACACCTGAACGGACAGGTAATGCTTATCTTTCTATTGATTTATGGTGCTTACAAAGTTGCTTAATTTAATCTAATCTTGCTAGCATTTAACAGCGATACACTGTTCAGATGATTGTATATAGACTTTCATCTCAGAGGGAGATTTTTTTAAATGACCTGAAATTTGGCAGTTAACTAGTAGTGTAGGTTGTCTTCTGTGTTGCACAGCACGTTAAAGGGAAGCGATGCTAGTAAACAGAGCTTATTTCTCAATACTGGTTTACCTGAGAGTATAGTTGTGGCTCTGTCAGCTTAAACAGTCCCCAGCTTTGCCCTTCATTGCTTATTTCTGCCCCACTGTGCCCCTTCCTTATGCCTACAGAAACATTTGTGCAGCTGTGTAATGAAGTTGCAAGGAGAACTTACGTGTCATAAAAATAGCTGGCAGAATCATGGCTGTTTTCAAGCTGGCATTGTTGCTACTATCCAAGATTTATTTTGTTTGTCACTGATTTTCAGGTGACACAGGAGTTTTAGGAAAAATACAAACTTTCTGTGGGCTGTAAATTGCAAAGAGTTGCATTTTTCCTTCTTCACTACAGGTATTGGGAGTCAATTTATATCTGTGACTTCTTTTAAGGTGCAGTGGAGAAAATCTTCTGGGGACGAGGCATTAACATTTTATTGCTGATGGGAGCACATGTGGTCTAAGGAAATTAGCATCAGTGTCACACTTGATCTCTGTGCAATTTTCTTTACAATGCGTGAAATCAGTGCAGAAAGCCCTGTTAGGGATATGAGCACTGTGGGTGAGATACAGCTCCAAACTGAACACCTGGTGTAGGTGCCTGTGTGAGCAAGATGCCTAAGCTCCCCTATTCAATGGGATGTAGTTTAGTTCCTAAATGAAGGCCTCTCATGCTATTTGAGATACCCTCAGGTATCTTGTCTAGCTTCCCACCGCTGCTCCAAAAGGGCTCAGCTGTTACTACCTCTGCAAAACCTCGAGGACCATTGTAACTTGCAAATGTAGAAAAAGCAAACACATTTACCCCTTAAAATCCTTCCAAAGCAAAGTAGTCCCCTGTGTGTCGTTTTCTGTCGGAGGTATTATTAGACAACAGCTGAATTTAGGATGAATTTTAGGTGACTGTTTTGAGCCATGCTAGAGGATGCAAACACATCTGTGATACAGGCACAGCTGATGAGCCATCGTCACAATGGTTCTTGCCCTGCAGGCTGTGGGCCTCTGGTGGCCCAGAGGATATTAGAAAGTGATTTACTGTTTTATTTGAAGAATTTTTCTTTAAAGTTGGGCAACAACAAGCTCATGCAACTAATTACAGTTTAGTTTATATTTTACTATCATGCAGGGAAAAAGTAGAATCCAGAGCCCTCTCCAAAAGGTAGCTCTGTGAAGGAGACAATGCTTTCTCTGTTGTTGCATAATGTTTAGTCCTAATTGTTATTGTCATTGATTTATCTGATGATTATAAACAATTAAAAAAACAGTAAAAGTTAGATAAATGGCTCTGATATAGAATCTTGAGTACTGAGTGGAAGTTGGTGACACATACTTAATTTTCAGAAAAGAGTAGGGAGAACCACAGCCCCATAAGAAGGATTCAAATGCAGATGTGTTTAGACTACGCTAGCTAATATGAGCTGTATCAGAACTGTATTGGATAAATTATTCATTGTCTGGGCTATTTTGGGAACAAGCTGAGGAATTCATGATCTGTTACTACACGTACTGCTTCTCATGAGTATCAAAGCCCTTTGCTAATTGTTAGTGGGTTGCACTACACCTCTGAAAGTTTTTCTGTTACACAGAAAATATTTTAAGCTACTATAACATAAAGGGTAGATAGTCGTGAATGAAAGATGGCCAGACGTATTCACAGACTAAAGGTTATGTTTTCTTACATAGGTTACATTTCTAGGAGTTCCCCTTTGAGCCCACAGTCATCAATAGACAGTGAACTGAGCACCTCGGAGCTGGAGGATGATTCCATTTCCATGGGATACAAGCTGCAGGACCTCACCGATGTTCAGATCATGGCTCGTCTACAGGAGGAGAGTAGGTGGCTTTTTTTCATTTTTCAAAATAGTCTGAGGAAGATTTCCTGTAACAGTCAAAACTGCTCCAGTCTGGTCTCAGTCAAGTGGATCTTTCTTAAACAGTGTCACCTCTTGAGTGGCAGGTGGAAAAACTCTTCACCTGCATGGAAAAGGTGTGCACGTTGTTGGGTCCAGGTTAATGGTACTGGATCTTTCAAAAGTCAGTGCTTATATATTTCTGAATCCCAACTGGTAGCTCCATACCCGTTGACTACATTTAGGTTTAGAAGACTTAGAATGTCTTACAACATTAAAATAATTTTATTTCTGGGGAGGGAAGGTGCTAAATCATTTTTCTGATGCATATGTCTCATGAAAAAGCTAAAAATAAGCAGCTCGCATGCATTTCTTTGCATCTACTTTGATTTTCTTAATTGTCAGATGAATTTTGAAATTAACTCCCCTTTAACTCCTGAATTGGGGCATTTAAATGTAACATTTTGTTTTGACACTAGTGATTATGCACAAATCTGAGCCCAAAAGCTTATTTGACATAGACTATAGTTTGGCTTGACAGTAATTTTTGGAAAATGTCTTTATTCATAAATAAAGGGCATTTGACTTAGAAGTCACTCAGACAATAAGTGCAGTATCTTTCTCACTTCCTATTAGTGCCAAGTGAGATGTCAAGGAGAAATGATGAGATGAAAACCAAGAGAAATTCAGAGATGGTGACTGAAGGAAAATGCCAAGTAATAAGTGATTAAATAAAAATAAAATGTGAAGAAGAAATTAATGCTGCGATCTGACTGCAGCAACCAGACTGAGCAGGTTGGCGCCATCACTTGTCAGCAGTTGAACTTGCTGAGCATTTGGTAGCGCTTGTTTTGTTCAGCAGAGAAATTAGCAAGTGTGGGACTTTCGAAGATAGCTGAATGCTCGGCTGGCAAATGTGTGTGGTGAGAGCTCGGAAAATTTCTGATATTATGTGAAAGTTGCAATAACTTTTGAAAAAAATATGACTAATAAGGATACAAAGGATTGTGTTACTTAAATGACAGCTGTTGTCATCTTCCTCAGATTTAAAAAAGACTTCAGGTACTTAGATCTTTAAGAAATCAGGTCATTGGTAAACTGGAAGGAAAACCACTGTGTTTCTTCTCATCTATGTTCAGGTGTGACGGTTGTATCTCATCCTCGTAGTAGCAGCTGGTCCAGAACGTTTGAGCAAGTGACGGTTGTTGTCCACTTAATCCAGTGGGCAGTGGTAGTAGTATATGTGCACGCAGGCACGCTCTTTTCACGGCCACGAATAGAAGCTCCCGCTCAAGGGGTGAGGGGGGGAGCACATTAAGAAGCTTCCATTATGAAGCAAAGACACCTGTCAAAGCTGAGGGCTTTTTGTAAATCTAGGAAAGTTGTTGTCCGCAGCTATTGGTGGAATTACTCGGCTCCTGGAAATACGATGTACGTCCCCCTTTTCCCTGGCTGCTGTGCAGTTGGGAAAAGGGGGATGTACAAAGGCTGGGGATGTTTTCCTCTCACTTGACCTGGAGCAAACATCCTCGTCTGGGGCAGTGCTAATAGTGGGATGTCTTTCAAAACACTGGTGTTCTGAGAAGGGGGTGGTAGGATGCATACCTGTCTAAAATACAGCTGTGTTACCGCTAAGCATTGCCCGTAAGACTGGCTGCTAGCAGGAACTCATTCTGGTTCAGGGAGGTTGGACAGGCAGAGTATTTACATGGGTTTTAAGTTTGGGAAATGTCATTGTCAGCATTTTGATTGCATGAATATAGAAGTTTAATAGCAATAACTTGGAAAACTAATGGAGTGAGTGTTAATTCCTCTAATTAAGAGTGTTTAAAAGTTAAATACTTAATACTCATGTAGTCTTTCTATTGGCAGAGAAATAGGTGCCTCCTGAAGGTAATTCATCTTACATTAAGACAGGCATCTAAGACATCTCACAGGTACTGCATTTTGGAGATGCCTGTATTATTTTTTTATTAAAAAGGGATCTTGAGGGAAGTAATTCAGGCTTAGATGCCTGAAAGGTAGACACTGAAAGTTAGATTGGATGAATCCTACCTCAGATCTTCAGCCTGGTAACATTTTAAATCCAATTATTGCTGTAAAATTATGTCTACGTACCTGCTTAGTTTTCAAGTTTGAAGTGCATGTTAAGAGTTAATCACTTAGCAGAAGCTGAATCATCCTCTTCTTGGAATTTACAGGCCTTAGGCAAGATTATGCTTCGACTTCAGCATCTGTGTCAAGGCACAGTTCGAGCGTCTCTCTGCATGCGGGAAAGAAAGGGACGTGTGGTGACCAGGAATATGATCGCTGTAGTCTTGAGGACGAGGAAGAGTTTGACAACCTCCCACCTCCGCAGCCGCGGCTGACTCGCTGCTCCCCATTCCAGAGGGGGATTCCTCACTCACAGACTTTCTCCAGTATCCGGGACTGCAGGAGGAGCCCTACCTCCCCGCACTTCCCTTCAAATACTTATCAGCAGCCCTACTACTCTCCTCAAGCCCAAACTCCAGAGCAGCAACCAAATAGGATTAATGGAGGTGGGTTGTATGCTTTTCTGAGAAGTGGTCTCTGTGCAAAGTGCCAGTGCCATTTTAAAGATCAAGTTGTGTCAACGGAGTGAAGTGTGTTTAGTGCATGACAGCTAGATCACTCCATGAATTGTATTAAGCAATTTAAGCCTGTGCAAATGATTGAGCTATGTTATTGTTAAGTAATTTGCTACAAAATGTAATCTGTGGCCTGGTCATGAAGGTTGTTGCTTTAGTTGGTTTTAAAGTGCTTCAGGTGTGACCACAAGTGAAGAAAGAAGAAAAAGGAAAGAGGAGCATCTTTTAGCAGACTAATAGTTGGTGAGAAGAACTGATCAGGCTTTTAAGCTTGGCCTGTGCATGTCCATCATGGATACAGTAAAATACAAAATAGGGTTTTCAGATTTTCATTCCTTTTCTTATTCCTGACTTTGCTGTTAACACAGCTATGCTGTGAATCTGCAATGAATGCAGAGTCAACACTCTGCTCCTGTTCCAAGTCTGGTAGGGCAGACTATTAAAGTAGTGGGAGATAACATCACTCCCAAACTATCCTGAGCCATTGCTGCGTTTTGCACTGCATTCGAGATGCGTTCCAGAGTCTCTGGAAGATTTGTCTCTTGGTGTTTACTCAAGACTTAAGTTTCCCTCCATCATTGCTGTTACCTTCCTTTCATTCTTTATTATGATCACAATTTTCTTCCTCCAGCTGCATCTGGCTCTTCTATTCCTTCAGTCTTTTCCCCAAGCTAATGCAAACCAGTTGGTTTTCAGTCAGGGTCTTGTTTGAAACAGTGCAGGTTACAGCTCACCCTTGGGCAAGAAAATAAATGTGGTGTTCAAAACAACACAAAGTTGCTATTTCTAGAACACTACAGGTATGCATGTTGCTTTCCTGACAAATAAGATATGACAGGTTGGTGCCAAAAGCACTTGCATTCAAAGTAAGACATATAGTGGAAGTATACTCGACAAGTGGCAGTATATAAAGAAGGCTGATGTTAACAGAGGGTAGAGTGACGTGGGTGTTTGCTGGTACAGCATATGTGCTGTATTAATGTTATTTTTCTTGCTGGTGAGGTACAAGAATGGGACAGCACTAATGGGCTTGCAGAAAAATTGTTAGAGAGAGAGAAAGGAAGGATATGGGGCATTTTTGATTCAGGAATGAGGGCAGGACGTGGTGCTGTGATCTTTTTGTGTGGTCCCCAAATGCTTTTTGATGATTTTTTTCATGTTCCATGTCAGTGGAACTTAAGCATTGGATTCCCACATGGAACCTTCAGAAGGTACTTACAAAGCAGTAAAAATACTAAAATCCTTAACTAGAAAGTGTATAAATGTAAAAGGCCACCAATTCCATGATGTGGTTGCCTTTTTTCCTCAAGAACTTTGAGGTGTTGACTAATTTGTTTGGTGTTGCTGAGAAGGTGGACACATGTGACTTCAGGTCCTATAATAGCCAGTACCACTATCTTTAGCGGAGAATTATCTCTTCAGCTGCTGCACCTTCAGCCTGTGACTCATGCAGCACTGATCCACATAAGTGGCAAAGACTGATGGCGAGAAATGTTTTACTTTGGCTGTGTTCTCTTGGCAGACAAGGAGTCAAGTGTTTGCTGCGTTGAGTATGTCTGCATAGTATTACAACAACATCTTCTCATCGGCACTTATCATCATCTTGGCAACAATTTCATTGTCTTTCAGGAACTCCTACACATTGAAATGGAGGTAGACTGCAAAACAAGAATTTGTCTGAAGCTCAATATGATGGACAGTGTGTTTCCATGCTTACGTTTTACCAAGGCAAATGAGAAAGTGGGGGTGTGATAGATGGAGAGGCTCAAGTGTTTAGTTACTGCTTTCAATATCTGTGGAAAGCATCATCCATAATTAATCAAAATTGCACATGCTGCATGCTGTGCTGCTCTCGGTCGTTCAACAGTCTTCCCAAATCTCTCTTCCTCTCTCTTCCCCTAAAGAGGTGACTTGTGTTGTATGCACAGTCAACAGTCTGGCCACTGGTTCGTCTGATCATTCACAGAGCTCTCCATAGAATAAGAGTAAGTGGCAAGTAAATGTTGGATTTTGGCACTTAGTCTAGGGTAAAAAAAACAGTGTTTAACTTTGAGCCAGTGACTTCTGAAAACTTGTCTATGTGTTTAGCTCAAGTATAATTTTTTGCCTTTAGGAACAAGCAGTATCAGGCGTGCTGTCCTCCCTGCTTTTACTGAAGTTTGTATGGCATGATAGTTGAGGTACTTACTCTAACTTTAACATTCTGTACTGTAACAAATATGCTGAAGGTGTGATAAACTCAGAAAACTCTAATAATTCTTTTAAGAGTATAATACTGGTTGCGTGATGAGGAGTGCCTACGTTTAGATGCTGAGATGTAGGTGCCACATATGTATGAAGGGCCCAATTCAGCTGCCCACATGTAAGCACTTAGTGCTGTATGAGGTACTCGGATGCACCCTGCTTGGCTTCACCATTGCCATGTGTTGGTGCTTTTTAGATGCCTTGGATAACCCAGGGTGTCTCAGATGGCGTGAGGCATCTATACATAGGCACTGAATTGTGCACTAGGTGTCCAGCCTCACTGTAGCCAATGGTCTGCTTATTCTCCATTCACAGGATTGCATTTTAGATAGCAGAGAGATTGTCTGGTGTTTCTGGCACCCTAATAATCTTCTGCCTGTGCTTGGGGTGAGAATACTCTCACAGATGTTTTCTAGCTGTGTTTGAGGCCATCATTTTGAACTCACACATTGTTCTTGCTGGTGTGTTTTAGCAAAGTGCTGCCCCTTAGTGTAATTTGGAGAGACTGCCCTGCTTTAAATTGCTGTACATCTGTTTTAAAATACAATACCGTACATCTGTTTTAAAATACCACACCATATAGCCCCCACTCTCAGGCCCAGGCTCTTTCTCTCAGTGTCCCACCAGCACATTGTCTGAATCAATGGTGCGAGTCCTGTTTATTACCAGTCTCCAACAGCTTGCTGTATTGAAAGGCTCCTGGTAAATGCTAGCATAGCATATTGGCTTTACACAGCAAGGTTTTGGTAGCGGGGGGCTACAGGGGTGGCTT